CCGAAGAGCCGGTGGTGCGGGAGCCGGCCTCCAACTGGGACAGGTACGCGCTGGTCACGGATGACACTTACCGCAACAAGCAGGAGCGAGTATTGGCGGAGTTTTGGGTAAGTCTCTCTCACACAACATTGCTTAATACATCGCATTCATTGGTTAAATCTTTTATCGAAATAATGAATGGATACATCGGTTTTGTATGCAGAAATATTTCAAGGTCGAAGAAGGACTTGAGGCCCAGGCGGATCGAGCGGCTGCCGCAGCTTGTAGGAAGTACATCACCGAGATGCATCACCATGGGCGTGTCCAGGCCCACATAGACTACTACAGGTCGGTACTTAGGCAGTCCCTCCCCAAGCCTCAAGCAAGACGGATTACGCTGACCCGGGACCAGTACCTTGAGGTAGGCGAATAACATTTATAATGATTCGTTTTGATATTAAGTAGGTTCAATTTCATCTTCTTATATGTCAAATACTCGATGACTTGTAGGTGATTCCCTGGTGGTGCCGATCATATCCCGAGTGCTGGGCCATGATCATGGACAAGTGGTTATCACAGGACTTTGTTGACACGCACGAGAGGCAGTGGGAACAGCGTCTGATGAGGCAAGGTCCAACTCACCATCAAGGCAGCCGTAGCCTCCCCGGATACAAACAAGCATACGTAAGTGATTTCTTTCATTTATTTTAACGCTCAATTCTGCTTGATTTCTCACCATCTTCCCGTCTTTCTTGCAGGAGGCTGCGCACCCAGGCGAGGAGGTCTCGGAGTTCTCTGCGTGGGCTATGCCCCACATGGGCAGTGCGTCGTCCTCTGTCTCCTTCGACCCGGCTGCCCCACCCCAGGTGTACTCCGACCCGAACATGTACACTAAAGTCTAAGAGTACACGTCAACGGTAAGGCAGATCTATGGGGAAGATTACAATGTGCGCACTGAGCCCATTGATGCAGAGGCGATCATGAGGCTTGGAGGAGGCAAGAAGCACGGGCGGCTGTGGATTGCAGACGGCGCCATCGACTCCACCACTGTTCCCTCCCTCGACGCTATCCGAGCACGGAGCACGAGCTCCAGCCAGCCCATACATCCATGGTCTTCTCCAGCACTGCAGCAGGTCCAAGCACTCTAGGTAATTCTTGTTTTACTCATCGTACGTAGATATTTACACACCTAAATTAGATTTGCATTACTGATACATTGGAGTGAAATATTATAGGCCGAGCTGCAAGAAACAAAAAGGCAAAGTCAAGAGCAGAACACGGAGCTGACCGCACAGCTACAGGCCCAGAAGGTCGCGTTCGAGGCCGCGCAGAAGCAGATGGCGGAGATGATGGTGATCATGCAAAGTCTTGGGCAAGCATCGGGTGTACCTGTACAGTTTTCAGCTCCTCCACCTCCTCCACCTCCTACTCCTGCAGCTACTCCTGTAAGTATGAAAGTTCACTTTTCGCTTGTGCTTTGCATGTATGTCGGCCTTCGTGCCGTTGTGGATGTCGGCGTTCGTGCCGTTGTGGATGTCGGCGTTCGTGCCGTCGTTTCTTGCAGGTTTTGGAAACCTCCCCGTGCAGGGGAGGTGCTGCCGAAATTTTCAATTGAGTCTAATCTTTTTTATTCCTACAATACTAGATGCAATCTCTAAGTTCCAAAACTGTTTTCCCGGATTATTCACACATGCAATCTCTGCTCCTTTGTGCAGCTTCCGTCCGCGGGTTCCAATAAACCCGCTAGTGCGTCACCGGGTGATCCTGTTTTTCCTTCACGATCGTCTCATAGGCTAGCTTGATGAGGACTCGTGCTAGGTGATGTGGTTGGACTTTAGCGTGATTTGTGATTTATGGTTGTGACTTGTGCTTGGATTTCATTAACTTGTCGTAATAAATATGTGAATGATGATGAACATGTGACTTGTCGTTGTAATATATTGTGATTTGTGGTTCACAATTATGGTTGTGATATATTATGAGAAAATGGGTTCTGTGTGATATATATATGTATATATATGAAATGCTTGTGTCGATGGAATGCAAAAAAAAAAAAAAATTAAATTTCTGCCTCTTTGCCGAGGGCAATGACCAAGGCCCTCGGCAAAGAAGGGTCCTTTGCCGAGGGCCCAAACAATAGCCCTCGACAAAGATTTTTTTGGAAAAAAATCCTGACAATTTCTTTGCCGAGGGCCAGGGAGCAGGCCCTCGGCAAAGGGTTAAAAAAAATTCAAAAAAATCATTTCTTTGCCGAGGGCCGGCCCTCGGCAAAAAAATTTTAAAAAATCCTGAAAATTTCTTTGCCGAGGGCCAGGGAGGAGGCCCTCGGCAAAGGTTTTAAAAAATAAAAATAAAAAAAATTATTTGCCGACTTTGCCGAGGGCCGGCCCTCGGCAAAGAATTTTTAAAAAATCCTGAAAATTTCTTTGCCGAGGGCCAGGGAGGAAGCACTCGGCAAAGGTTTTTTAAAAAAATAAAAAAATTTATTTGCCGAGGGTCGGCCCTCGGCAAACAAATTCAAAAAAAAAAACCATTTCTTTGCCGAGGGTGGGCCCTCGGCAAAGAAACCGCCAACGGCGCCGGCGCCTGACGGCCTCTTTTCTTTGCCGAGGGCCGTCCTAGCCCTCGGCAAAGACCCCTTCGCCGTCTAAAAATTCCCCGAGGGGTCTTTGCCGAGGGCAGCCCTCGGCAAAGCCTTTGCCGAGGGTTTCTGGGAAGCATGCGCCTCCAGTAGTGAACTAGGCATCACAACATTAATTAGTTGGCAATTTGGCATGATGATAGTATGAAGCTGCATATATATAGTAAAACTAATGGTGCCATCGCTCTAAGAAACTAAGCAAGATTACTTCAACATATTTCTGATACGTGGCAATTGTTATATAAGTTGGCATTAGATAAAGGCTGTTTGCCTTTTCTTTCCTATTTTTCTCAAAAGAAATCAAGTTAGATAACAGCTGTTTGCTTTCTTAATTATTAAAAAGAACTAAGAAAGATGTGCCAAACTGTTGATAACTATGCATGAGAACAAAAGGTGATATATCAGGTGGTGTGCACACCAAAGTTCAGCTAGACGCTAGGCGGAATCTAGGCGCTGACCCATTGCCTAGCGCCTAGTCGGGAGTACTCGGTCCTAGGCGCTCCTAGGCGTTTGCCTAGACGTTTTGGCAACGGAGCTCTCCTCTGCTCCAAGAGAAAGCAGAGCAGAGCAGCTGCTCCAAGAGAAAGCAGAGCAGAGCAGAGGGCCGCGCCTGGTCCCCCGAGCGAAGCAGAGCAGGGGGCGGCGAGCGGAGCAGAGAGCCGTGCCTGGTTCCCCGAGCGAAGTTGAGCAGGGGCGGCGAGCAGAGCAGAGGGCTGCGAGCAGGGGCGGCGAGGCAGAGCAGAGGGCCGCGCCTGGTTCCCCGAGTAAAGCAGAGCAGGGGCGGCTTCAACCAGAGGGCCGCGCCCGGCGTGGGGAGGGGCAGCAGGCTGCAGCCAGGGGAGGTGCGGCATCCACCGGAGGCCGCGGCCAGCCGGAGCGGGCACACGGCACTTGCTTTCAGGTGGTCTGCACACGGCACTTGCTTTCAGTTTGTATGTCCAATTAAAATTAGGGTGCATGAATTTTAGCTTTCTTTCATATGACGATTCTGAGAATAGGCACAATTTATACTAAAATTTCAGATTTAGTTCGTTGCAATTTATATAGGTTCCGAGAATAACAAACCGTTTAGACAAAACCGCTACTTGACAAAATCTAATCTATGTTGGCACAACAATTTACAATTCTTGCTATAGTCAGACATGGACAAAAAATTGATATATCATGATACAAAAGCAAATAACAAATCAGAAAATTAACAATTTATTTTTACTAGTTGGTTGTACAAGAGTGTTACTTGGAATCATCTTAAAATTCAGACATGTGAAATATATGAGTGTACAAGAGTGTTAAAATTAAGTATATTTGGGCTAGAAATTCTTCTTTTCATTCCTTTGTCTTGAAAAAAAGAGAAATTCTCATATATGAGGGGTAGCAATAACATTTTTTTTCTTGAGAAAGAAAAATATCTGCAGACTGATCTAGCTAGGTAGGTATAGCTTGCTATCCATCAGCAGCGAATCATGATCTTCCAGCATAGCTAGCGACTCGAGCGGTAGCATGGCATAGGAGGACAGGAAAGGACTGATAGAAAGCAGGAAATGACACTCGTTGGCTTTTGCACAAGGTTGAAAGTTGAAATGACTCATAATCAGCTCTAGGAATGAGATTTGTGAAAGGATTTGCATTGAACTGTCGGATGCATGCCGTGGAGCTTTCACTGCACAAGCAGGAAAGCAGCTAGAGAACTGTACATGAAGGCCGAGATGATGCATGGTGCGCAAGTTGGCCGGATCCACTCATCGGCTTCTTTCATTCTCATCGATTTCCAAATTAAAGTGCCGCTCATGTGGCACGCACTTTGCTTGGGTCCAATAAATCCACACCGTGCTTCGTGGAAAGGAAAAGTGCTTGTTAGGAAGGCCACATGTAGCTCACATATGAAGTGTGAATTATTATTGTATCATCATCATCTTGTTTCGTTAATTATTAGAGTTTCATGTTGATTCATGTCCTGGTCTGAAACACATATCACAAGTGTAGTAGTGGAGTACCATGCAACAACAAACATGTAGTGGGAGATTTGGAGATGAGAGGATTATTGTTTGAATTGGAGGAAGCATTGCAAGAGAGAATTCGAAAAGCAAGCACATATCGTCTCTTCACATATGTGTATATATGGAACAAATTTACATGCATACTACACAATCTAGACTAATCCGTCGATATGATTATTCATTAGCAGCTAGCTCGATAATCCTACAGAGAAACCAAAGGGAGAAGAAGAAGAAGAAGAAGAAAGAAGTGGAAGCGATGGCGGCAGGCAGGCATAACCGATGGGATCGGAATTGGATCCACCAAAAACAAGACATCACTACTGAACTCCTTCATCGATCCATCTCAGTCTCAGCTCATGATATATAGGCGGCCGGCCAGCTATCTAGTCGTCACTCTGGGCGGCAGCCGGTGTCTGCTGCTGCTGGTCGGCGGCGCAGTCGGAGCAGACGACGCCGGACTGGTGGCGGTGGAACTTGGCGATGTAGATGGCGGCCCTGTTGTCGACGTCCCACTCGCCGCCGTCGTCGTCGCTGGGCCACACCCTCCTGACCCTCCTCTCGTCGCCGTAGACGGCCGCGTCGTCGCCCGCCGACCCCGAAGAAGAGAGGCAGCTGCCCATCTCGCTCCTCGCTGGCTCGTGTACTTCTTGGCACGTACGCCCCTGGGCCGACCTGTCGAGCTAGCGCGAGGACCACGGAGAAGCCGGAGCTGATGATGAGCTGCTGCTGCTGGTGTTGCTTGGTTTGGTTGGCTGGCAGCTGGCTTGGCTTCCGATCGATATGTATGATGCCGGGGGTGGGTTGGCGGCTTGGCGCGAGCGCAATTTATAGCGGGGGCCGGCCTTGGCTGGCGAGGGACGAAGGTGCGGTGCAGTTCAGTGGGCACTGGGCAGTGGCTCATTGGCTCTCAGTCTCAGCGCAGCGGGTGGTGTGGCAGCTCCGACGACGGAGCGCGCGGAACGGAATCGGGAAGGATTCCCGCCCGCGCAAGTTGGCGGGCGGTTTGGACGGTGGGGATGGGCCGAGACCGAGGCCCAGTGGCCCACGCCGCACCCGCACCGCACGCGCCATGGGAACGGGGTGGGATGGGACTGTGGCGCACAGCAACAGCATGCACCTGAGCACGCGTGCGGCCAGACTTCACTCACACTCGCCGCTCACCGCTGGATTCTGCAGGACGACGGCTGATGAGCAGCAGCTAGTGTCTATCACGCCCCCTAATCCCTATTACCTACCAGTCTATCACCAGTCACTTTCCCTCCTTTGACTGGCCAATTGGCGGCTCTGAATTATGATTGCCCATTCAGTGAAAACAACCTCTTTACGCTCCAACTGAAATGCGATGCACGTACTGCGACACATTTCAGTAAAAATCTCAGTTGCCAAAAAGGATTCTCCAGAGCTTCTCGAGTTGTTCTCCGAACAAATCTAGCTGTCCAGCAATAATAAACCCCTCGCTCAGATAAGAATTGCCATAAATACATATATTACTCTCAATCATAGGAAAACAAAATACAAGTTGAGCTTTCACAGTGGTTCATCGTGCATCAAGTAGAACACTGTCTGAATGTTATAGCTTCAGATAAGGGAATGGGGAATTAATGGAGGGAGGAGGAACTGTTCAGATAAGGAAGCTTATGGGGATAAGCCAGCATCTCATCAGTCACTAATACGTTCAGTCACTTCATTCATGGCCATTATTCTAAGCAGGCCCTCGCCAAGATCTTTTTACCCCGGATGCATTCTATCCTACAGGCTACAGCTTCCTGTACAAGAGAAACCCAGAGAAGCAAACCGTGATTTGCACGCAATTCCGTGATCTTGCATTGCATTGCGCCGATTTTTCGGAATCAGATTTCCACAAAAACAATTGGTGTCATGATAAAAAGTAGCGGGCTTTCACACTGCTCCAATAATCTACCATTTTTCGGTGCCGAACAAGTAGACTCGCATGCACAAGTTTCTTTCTTTCACCAGATCATTCCAAGTTCCAACCCCCTTTAGCACGTATGTGTGCGCGTATCTAACTATCTGTATATAGTATACAATAATTCAAGATTACTGACTAATGAGGATCAGTCAAAAAGGGCATTATGATGCTATGTAAAAGCGATCGTATTCTACTCACATAAAAAGATCAGTTCAAGCTGCAGTACTGTGCTGCTGCCTACAGGCTACAGCTCCCACTACCCACAGCTGGGCTTGCCTTTGCCATGTCTCTCTAGACTAGAGGAGGAGGAGGAAGCTGCAAGGTCTCTTCATTCATTTTTGTGCCCCTGTTTCGATACTTAGTTTAGTCCCTGCCGTACATGTAATGCGCTGTTGCTGTAATAATCACAACGTGGCGTCGATCATAACAACGAATTTTAGGCAGAATCCTAATGATGGGCAGAGGGTTCAGGGATGTTAGGCGAGGAGCTACGAATTAGATATGTTTGGGTCCTAATCCCTGCTAAACTAATTGCATCGATTCTCGGTGCAGTAAAGCTGCATGTCAGTTCTTTTATATGTGTTTATTATGTGCCCATCACCAATTTCTTTTGTGTATGTTTTGTGTCCAAGTGTCATTGGGAGCTACGAATTAGATATGTTTGGGTCCTAATCCCTGCTAAACTAATTGCATCGATTCTCGGTGCAGTAAAGCTGCATGTCAGTTCTTTTATATGTGTTTATCCTGGCACAGGAGGGGTAGATGGCTTCTAAAGGAAGGCATCGGCCGTACGTACAGAAAAGAGTGTGTGTGTGTGTGTTAAGATAATCCTAGCTCGACCTTGCGGCTGAGATTTTCATATGCTAAAGATTTACCTCTTTTGATCAAGCTAATATTAGTTTATGACCTATTTCCCTCTCATGTGAGCCAAGCAAACAAATTAAGAATAACAGAATCCGACAAATGGTAACTACTTATATATAGAACCTAGCTAGAAAGCATGTGATATATCCATTTAAAGAGATGTCTCGGCTCCATAGTGCGGGCAGAAGATAGTGATATGATCAATAAAGCAGATTATGATTAGGCTAAAGATGTTTTGTTGATCCGATCTGTACGTTGCTACTGCACCAACGTCGTCGTATCGGTTGAAATTCAACGTCTTTTATTAGCCAAGGATTTCTGCAGTGAAATCCCTGAGTTTGCTGGGTGCTGCTCAAATGATAGTTTCTCATGAATGAATCCTGTTGGTGACCCAGAGTTTTCTAGACTCTTTGTGCATGTTGTGTGGCTCTAATGCTTTGTTTATTATTTGATTTGAATGAATCACACTGGCCGGGGAGGGCAGCCACAAGCCCGCAGCCAGTTCAATCTGTTCACTCAGCCTCGGCCCCAGGTGTTTCAACTTTTTTTTTCCACCACAGAAGCTACCAGATGCATGCATGAATCTTTTCCTGAACCTCCAGCTCCAAGTGGGAGATTTGTCAGAGAGGAAAACATTGGATGATCGAATCCATCCCTACCTACTACTGCTCCCACTACTACAGAATGGACTTGTTGTCCCGGGCGGTAACAGCCTTTAGTCCCGGTTACCGCGCCGGGACAACGATCCCGGGACTAAAGGTGGAACCTTCAGTCCCGGGTCATCGAGCCGGGATTAAAGAGGGACCTTTAGTCCCGGTTGGTAACACCAACCGGGACTAAAGGCCCTCCAGCTGAGCGAACCTGGCGCACCCTTTAGTCCCGGTTGGGGTTACCAATCGGGACTAATGGTTCACCCTTTAGTCCCGGTTGGTAACCCCAACCGGAACTAAAGGTTCCTTTTCTTTTCTTTTTTTTTTGTTTACTTTGTTTTCAGTTCAGTTACACGTATTTGTTTAATATATAATATGGTTTTTATGTACGTATTCTCGTTGCTAATATAAATACACCGCTGCATATAATTACATCTAATTCTCATTCTTGACAATTATATATTCGAATAAAGTAATGAAACTATATATATTATAGATATATATATATGTATATATACAACACTTTCATAATCTTGTTCTCGAAAATAACGATATCAATAAACATTTAATTTACATCATTTATTCCTTAAGATCAAAGTAGAACTCGCCATTGGGATTTAGCACTTTTCTAGAAGATATCCGCTATTGACTCTTGAACGCTTTCAGATGGTCTTTTTGTATGACCCTTCGTTTCAACCATTCAGTCTTGCATTTGAAATAAAAGGAAAAGTATTAATACACATATATGTATATATATTCATTTAAAAATAAATAAAATTGATATATACGTACTCGAGGACATCTTCAGGAGTTCTTCTTATGTGCTTGTGATGATAAATTCACAAACGTAGTATCCACACAAGTTATTATCTGGTTCCTGCCGCAAACACCACTGTACGAGAAGAAGATTATTCTCATCATCTCACACGTAAATTGAAGTACGATATAGTAATTAAACACGTGGGAAGTGTATATAGTACAACTTACTGGTATTTCAACTACATTAAGTGGTGCCTTGCAATCCTTGCGATGTTGCCGAATAAACTCTTTCCAAACCCTGTGCGACCAATAATGTACGATCGTTAATAAATTATGGCAAAGTCTATTCAATAATAGTTGTGCGCGAGAGATCGAAATTACCACGGATAATGTCTATCATATCTTGGTATAGTGCCCGTTCTTTTCTCAACGAGTCAAAGATTAGTAACCGACTTGAGTTTAACTCAATGACAATGAGTATCCAAATGAAAATCGCATTGGTTTATACACACACGTACATGCATATAAGTTGTATTGATATTACATAAAATGTGTAGACTACATTATTATTAACACTTACTCAAAGTTGTACGGGAAAAGTATTGTTGTCTTGTCGTGTTGCTTCATGAAGAACATCATGATATTCTCCTGTGCTCTAGATACCCATCGCTCCTTGATAATAATACCGGTTTGAATACGATATAAGGATCAATGAAGCCAACACGGTGTCTTGTATTCTTTGGAGCTCGACATCCGGAATCAGTATATAAATATAAGTTACATGTGAGGATAATTATATACACGTCACGCATGGAAGTGAGTTTATTAAATAAAAGTAAGAATCACTTACAAACAAAAGGAGCTAATGATTGATTTGTCCGAGGCGTCCAAGTGGAATAGTTGATGCAATTCTTGAAACTAATATGTAAGATGTCATCGCCACGGAAGTAATGATGGTCTCTAAATCGATAAAGATCCACTTTGCTCACCCCCGCCACACGCCTTTGCATGTACCACTTGTTGAGCAAGTACATTTTGCGTCCAATTCATTCGAGAGCGGCAGGTTGTACAGACTTTTGCCATATTTATAAGTCTTCCGGTATCAACTTCTAGGTTCGGATTGGAGCTTTGCCGTCAATTGATCCAAGGTTAAACCAAAGTATCTTTAAAAAGGCATTAAGGGCTTGAACCGACACTTCTCCGAGTTATGCGGTCGATAGACTTCTATGTTGGAACCATATTCATTAGCAACAACAAGATTTTGCATTGGTTGCTTCATTGTCCGAGCTATGGGACATCCTTCCTCGATGCTCTTTTCCTTTTCTTATTTGCATCATGTGACTTTACGAGGGAGCGATCATAGTCCGATAGTGGCGAAGGCTTACGAAGTTCAATCATCTTTTTCTTGTGAGCATCG